TAAATATCCTGAAACAGTGGAAAATTTAAAAGAATCATTCTACGTAGATAATTGCATTACATCTGTTTTTGATGAAGTGACACTTATGCGATTCATCGAGGAATCGAAACAGATATTAGATTTTGCATCATTCGATTTGAGAGGGTGGGAGCACACTTCTCTTTTGAAATCTGAAGACAGTATAGAACCTACTCCTGTGTTAGGAATTTTGTGGGATAAGGAAGATGACAGACTTTTCTGTGAGGTGAAGACTGATACTTACAAACCAGTGAATCTTACTAGAAGAAATATATTGTCTGCGGTACATCACATTTTTGACCCCATGGGTTTTCTCTGCCCTATAACGCTAACACCTAAACTACTCATACAAAAGACATGGCTGTTAAAAATTGGGTGGGATACAAATATACCCGAAGACTTAGGAAAAAAGTTCTATTCGTGGATTGATGATTTGTCACTTTTATCCAGTATTAGAATTCCAAGGGCTTTAGATATAAATGGAAATGAAAGTCTTAGTCTTCATACGTTCTGTGACGCAAGTAAACAAGCCTATGGATGTGTGATTTATTTAAGAAAAGAAACAAGTGAAAATGTATCGATGTATTTTCTTCTAGCTAAAAGTAGAGTGAGTCCATTAAGAAAAATGACCATAAATCGTCTAAAATTATTAGCCTGCTGTATAGGAGTCAGACTCGCAGCTCTTGCTTTACAAACACTCAAATTAGACAACATTGAAGGAACTATTGGACAGATTTGAGTACTGCACTTTCTTCGATCCAAAGAGATGGCCATTGGGTGCCATTTGTTGCAAATAGAGTAAAAGAGATACGAAAATGTCATCGGAATCTGAATGGCATCACATTCCAGGAAATTCGAATCCAGCAGTTATACCATCACGAGGGTGTTCGATTAAGAGTTTTGTGAAATCTCGCTTGTTGCAAGGGCCAGAATGGCTTATGAAAACGATGAAGAGTGGCCAACTAGTGAAGTGATCACTAAAGAAGAAAAAATTATGAAAGAAAAGCGAAAGAACATTATTTCGACTTTGGCTAATATCACCGCTGAAAAATGGTATCTGATTTACTTTTCAAGTTACTTTAAAATTGTGAGAATGATTTCTTGGATTCTAAGATTCATAAATAATTGTAGACATGGAGGAAGAAATTATGGCAAAACCCTGAGTGTTGAAGAATTGGACATTGCTGAGAAGAAATTAGTGAAGATCGTTCAACAAGAAGTATTCTCTAGTGAAGAACAGTTGAAGGGACATTTTACTTTCAGAGATGAAGAAGGGATTATAAGATTGAAAACGAAGATTTTGAGAAGACATGATGATGAAAACTTCCGGTGCCCCATTGTACTTCCACCCAAACATGAATTAGTAGAAAGAATGATACAAAACTACCATTTACAACTTTTACATGCTGGTACTCAAGTTCTTTTGACCAATATTCGTATATTCGTCAAAAATTTTGGATATTAAAAGGAAGAAAAACAGTACAAGGAGTCATATCGAAGTGCGTTCGGTGCAAGAGACACTCGGCGAAAGCTCTTGATACAGTGCCTTGTCCTCTCTCAGAAGATCGAGTCAGAGATGCTTATGCATTTGAGGTGACAAGTGTTGATGTAGCAGGACCACTTTATTTAAAAGAAAATAGAAAAGCTTGGATCTTGCTTTTTACTTGTGGAGTTTATCGTGCGGTTAATTTAGAATTAATTGAAAGCGGATCTTGCTTTTTACTTGTGGAGTTTATCGTGCGGTTAATTTAGAATTAATTGAAAGCTTATCGACTAACGGATTTAGAAGATTCATAGCACGAAGAGGACGGCCTAGAGTAGCATACAGTGATAATGGCACAAATTTTGTAGGGGCAAGGAATTTACTCCGATCTGTTGACTGGAACCAAATTAGCAGAAGTTCTTCGATAATGAAAATTCAGTGGAAGTTAAATCCACCAACCGCAGCATGGTGGTGGACCGCGGCTGGTGGGAGAGACTGGTTCAGATGATCAAGAAATTATTGAGAAGAGTCCTGGGAAAAGCATTACTTTCATATGAAGAAATGTTAACTATCCTTGTGATGCAAAAGCAAATATCAACTCCAGACCATTAACATACGAGTCAGAAGATTCCACTGATTTATGTGCACTCCATCTATGTTTATTCAGGATGTGCGAACTGAAGGTGTTCCGGATCTGGACAGTTTGGATAAAATCAACTTATCAAAAAGATGGCGATACCACCAAAAGTTACATGTGGAATTTCATAAAAGATTTAGAGATGGTGTTGGTGGTGTATTTAATTATGGCAAAGCACACGAGGGCTATCTGCCTAAGGGGAGGGATGCCTTTCGTGGAGGACTTTCTAAGGGAAACTGGCTCGTATACACGTTACACACGGGGAAAACCACGAAAATGCCCATGCAGCCAGCCCGTTCGCGGGATTCGAACCTCGGACCGAACTACCAGTGTTCAGCGACTTTACCGCTCGGCCGCTGGTGGGCCAAGATTTAGAGATGAATATCTCGGTATGTTAGTACATCGACCAAAGACTGTACCTTCACGAACCATCAAGAAAGGTGATTTAGTGTTTGTAGAGGACGATAAAAGGAAAAGAACAGACTAGCCTATGGGTCGTGTGATCGAAATATACCCAGGAAAAGACAACAACATCAGAGTGGTGAAAGAAAAAAACATCTAGTGGTGAACTGTTAAGACCAGTTCAAAGAGTATTTCCAATGGAGACAGACAATAAAGAACCTATCTTTGAGCTTAAAACTACTGAATCATCCACATCTTCGAGAAATACTGGTAAAAGGAATCATTTAATAATTGATACCAAAAACTGTGAACTTGAAAATTCTGATAAAAACATTCAGTTTAGTAGATATGGCAGAAAAATTGTGAAACCAAAGAACTTTAATTAGTTTAATTTTGTTTTCAGTACAACTATTATTTGTTTTCTTTGTTCCCTTCTTTGAATTTAAATTTTGTATACAATTTGATTTTACAGTTTAGTGAATTAATAACTAATCTTTACTAGTATATCAGGAAAGAATTTTTTGCCTCTTGTTTAAAGAATGTAAGTTTGCAGAATATTAAGTACGTTTAAAATATTCAAGATATTTCTTACCCCTAGATAAAATTGTTGATTTTGGTAAGATTTAAATTACTCATATTCATATTTCAATTTTCATTTCACAATTGTTTTGATTTCTTCATAACTTGTCAAAAATCAAAAGGTGGGAGAAATGTTACAACTCGAACGTGAAATGAGCGAAAGTTTCTTTTCTGCCAGTGGCAACGAGGAGTCGAAAAACGAACTTGGAAGAGAGCAGTCGCTCGCTCGGTTTCTCTCGATAGAATTTGATATGAAGGGGGGATAATCCCCATCTTTTGATTTGAAATTAATCTCGAATTATGTATATATTGTTATATAAAAGATGTGTGTAAATAAAAGTCATTAGGACTTAATTGAAGTAGTGATTTGAATCGAATATAGAAATCGAAAGCTCTCCCAAATAGAACTATGGAATATAGAAATGACATATTTTATATTTTGAGATAAATAGTTTAAACACTTCAAGATTCTTGAAATGCACTGGAGAACAACTTAATGCATCTGTTAGTTGAAAAAGAAAGTTCCTTCAAAATCATCCAGTCAATATTCATGGCTGTGAGATCCCCAAGCTGAAGCCTGTACCAAAATGAAATGTGAAGTCCAGGGCTATAGATAAGCTCTGATGACAATTCAGATGCTACAAAGACACATGATGTAACTAGCAAGAAACATAACATTCCTATACAGCAGTGGTATCCAAACTTTATGGCAGTCTGATCCATAAAAATGCAAAGAACCCAAATCAGAAGGCCAACGATTAATTATATATCATCAATTAAATTTAAAAATAAAATTATCCTCCTTGAGACCCTACTATAAATTTTCATGAACCCAAATGGGGTTCCATTTCCAGCATTTAATGGTCTCGTCTGATCAACAGTTTTCACAGAAAAATTTCAGTTCAAATTCAGTTTTCAGTGGTCATTTTTCAGAGAAATTACAATACATTTATGTAAAACACTATATGGGAAAAATGGTCATGCAGCTAGTCTCTTTTGCTAACAGAAACTGAATCTGTGATGCAGTGTTCAACAATTAAACTGATAAGGTTACTAAGAAATTGAAAATTTATTATTCAAGCTCTTATTTATTCATTTTAACATATTTTACACACAATTTTAGCTTAAATCTAAAATATTTTAGATTCAGTTAAATGTATTTTATTACAATATAACAGAAAAGGAGTGTAAAGAAGAGAAACAATATAAAGCTGATTGATTTTTTTTATTAACAAAATATTGTTATTTAAAATTTCTCGATAGATTTATGACACAATCTTAAACTTTTCCAAAATTCATCAGGAAGTGAATATCTTATAATTGGGATTGTATTACTTTTAACATTTGCTAACAAATAAAATTTTTAAAAAGTATGCATGACAATACGACAACTTTACGAGTTAAATCTTTAGTCAACCTTCGAAGAATATAAAAATGGTTGCATTTCTCAATTAATTTGGTGGGGGGAAAAGTACTAAAACACGTACTCACACTTTATTTTTTAGATCCAATGGATGAAGCCATCTGTGGATTTAAAATGCACATAATACACCAGGAACTAAAATTATACAATAAAAAAGCAACAAAAAAATTAAAAAGCAGAGCACAAAATGAAAAGCTAAAAGTGTAACATAAATTGAAATAGACAATCATTAGAAATAAACGTATTAAATAAATAAAAAAAAAAAAAAAAAAAAAAGACGTTTAAGAACTAGCCACTTGAAAAATCAATAGACAGGGGGGAAAATTAAAATAATAGACAAACAAACAAAAAATAAAATTATTTTTTATTTAGTAATTTGAATACATATATAGACAAATTTTGCATTGAAATAGCTGAATATTTTGTATGGACAAGCTTATTTAAAAGTTTCTACTTACCTGAGTATAATAATAGATGGGGAAACCTGGACCTGTCTGATAATTTATAATGAAGTCTGGTATAGAGTCATTATTATAATAACCAACACCAGGTGTGCTGAAATTTGAAATTTTTTAAAATTATTTTTACTAATTATAATTATTAACAAATAACAACAACCACAATTTAATATCTGGCAACTAAAAAGACACAGACACACAATGTTAAAGACATCTCATATTTTAATAGGGTTTTTCTACCATTAATTTAAAATATAGTTGATAATTAATTTTAGCAAAGGATGTAAGGGTTCTCTCTGTAGGTGACAGTGAATTTAAGAAGTTCTTTCTAAAGGAAACTAGTTTATAGTTATACCTGGTATGGCAAAAATTCCACTATAATCAAGCACTCAATCCTTTGCTGGAATTTAGCCAAGATGCAACCTAAACTAGGCAGGAACAGTAGGGTAACAAAACAATGAGTTCATATCCTTTTCAAGAACATTAAATGCTCATAATTTAAGTCACAAATGCAACCTTTCGTTATATTAAACTAATGCACAATCGAGCATTTCTAAAGCATTACATTCCTGTTTCATTTTTACAAAATAAGCACCATTAGGCTATTGTTTTCTTATCATTTCAGTCTAGCACAACGTATTCTCAGTAAAAATGTTCCAAATATGAAATCTATTAAAAAATTTACAAACTTTATTTTTTATGATTTTTCCCACAACTTACAGATTATTTAACATTGTCTGTCGCCTTTGAATATTCTCTTGGATTCATGCATCACTCTCAGTATCATTTCCAATTTATGTAGCAAATCCAGTAATAATTTTTCTGAGATCACACACAGTTATCTTTGTAGATTTTCTTTAAGCTTTAACTGAAACTTCATCTTTTCAAGTTAATATCAGTTTTGGACAAAAGTAAAATTCTGTGAAACAAGATTAAGAGAACATAGAAGCCGAAGAAGCATAGCTCTTTCTATTTTGGCACAAAAATCAAGAATGAATATCAGTACAAAAATTATCAATGAATTAAAGGAGATGAGTGCACTAGTTATTATTGTGATTGAAAAATTCAATATTTGCTTATCCACAGGTGTTATATATATATATATATATATATATATGTGTATTTTCTCTTATTAGTCTCAATACTTTAAGGTTAACCAATGATTCAATGTTTGCCCTTTTGTTAAAAATTCATCGTGTGTTAATACCCTAATGTGAAAAGGCAGTCACCATTAGTTTAACTTTTGATCTGATATGCCTCACTTTTCTCAGCCTTGGAGAAACTTTTTTTAATCCACTATGAATAGTGGGTTTTTGTTTCAATTTCAAAGACACAAACTCATATCTAATGATGAATGAGTCTTCTTTTCATAAAATCTTCATCCTTATATGCATGATTCAAAACGTGATAGCAAATTGCAACGTAAGACATGGGGCAAATTTACAGCAAATTGAAACTTTTCCAGTTTCTCAGTCAAATTGTGACAATATAATTCAACTGAACTGTTGCAATCATCAACAGTTTCTCATATAATCAACTGATGATTTGAATTCATGATTTTATGAATTTGAACCACATAAGTTTTGCCATTTAAGGTTAATGGACCTCTGAATGGAAATCATCATCAACTGATTGTCAGCCATCTTTGAAATGCTTAAACCATTCACTGCATACAACTTACCAATGATTATCATAAATTTATTTAAACATTTGATAGGTTTCTGTAAATTTCTTTCTAAGCTTAATTGAAAAACTTACTAAGCTTAAAAATTTTTTGTTAACACACGGTTCATAAAATTTATCCATTTTGAAAAGCGCAGAATAGACACAACACATGCTTAAAAACAAAATTGTATAATATAGTGACTTAATCACAATTTAAATACATAGGAAATGAAAAGAATTTTGTCAGTGTAACAATATTTATCAGATATCACTGTAAGGAGTCCGTGACACTTAGCTGATAACTACTTAACCTATATGACATAGTACACAGGACATTAACTGAAACAGGCATTTAGCTGACTAGACACTTAGCTGATATGCACATATAACTGACAGACATTTAGCTAACAGGATACTTAGCCATAGCCAACACCATGTTTAACTGACAATGTGTACATGTAGACTAAAAGCATGCAACCTTTTAGTCAAATTTGTCCATAAATATCTGATAAAGGCTATTTCCAGAGTACACATTGAGAAAGTTAAGGGACAAGGTCCTACATTTTTGTTTTTATTTAATGCTAAAGAGCAGACACATATTTTAAAACTGGAAAGAAACGCAACCTTAGGTACTTACGTATTATCGCAACCAGGTTGGCGCGATTTGTAAGTTTGAGTAAAAACGTATGAATAGAAAGAAAATGTACATTTATTAATTACAGATAATTTTTAATACAGTTTTTTATATTATTTTGTTTTAAAATATAAAATAGCAATTAAACCCTTCCGATTTCGAATTTGAATAAGTTGCAGAATTATTTTTTCGGCGGAAATCTTTTGGCTATTGCTTTTAGCACTGATTGAAAACCGTTTTCGCCATTAACAGCTTGAGCTTGGCGCCATATAAATTCGATAAGGTATGAGTCAAGATGATGACGGGCTGTTCCTCTTTGTTTTTTGTTGCGCCATTTTGCCTCGCAGGCAGATCCCAAATACCCATAGTTAAAGTATTTCAGGGTATTCAATCTAACCAGAAAGAAAAATAATTTCTTTACGAAAAACTACGTATAACACGTAGAGTTGCCGTAAGTAGGGTGGCCAAATTTGGCGATTTATGCGAATTTTGGCCTGGTTGCATTAATACGTAAGTACCCAACCTTATTTTGGTGAAGATTTTGAAATCAATTCCAAGAGCAACTAGACATAGGAGCAAAACGATTTTATGTGGAAAGAAATGGGTGCAGCCAAGCAGAGCAAAAGTAATGTGATCTGCCGAGAAAAATTATAATGAAACACGAACAAGCTAAGATATTACAATTTTGAAAGCAGTAAAAAATCAGTATCATTAAATAAAGGACAAAAATTTTTGCTAACATGAAAAGGCTCAAGAAATCTAGTTAACAAACTGAAGAAGCTCTATGGATAATTTTTGTAGATCGAAAAGCAAAATCATGACTAAGCATCCACCTGTGATTAGCTATCAAAAATTTATTTATTTCTCTTTCCAAACATACAATCAATGTTCTCTGATGAGAAATTTCAGTGCTCTTTCAATCAAACCACATTTCACACCACAGTGAGAAAATGACATCAAAGTTGAATGTATGGAGAATCTGGTCAATTTCATAATTTATAGAAAGATTAAACAGTATTGTGGAAGCGTCGGTACGATTGATTTTAATGTCAAAATGTGCTTTATGGACATTTTGGGATACTTTTTAGTTGCTTATTATGTACTATACTTTTTTTCTTTTTCATAATGCATTTTTAACATAAATACTTATAAAATATGTTTTAAAATTTTCTTATTGTATACTAAAGATTCATAATTATACATGCAAGTGAAGAATTAAAATAAATGTAATATTTATCAAAACTGAGATAAATCCAAAATTGTCTAAATGCTTAATTTAATCAATGATTTTAAGACAAATACTTTAATCAAGTTTTCCAAACTTATAAAAATAAATTTATATAACCTGTATTTTTTGCAACTACCATATATACCAGCGTATAAGTCGATACCGCATATAAGTCGACCCCCCCCCCCCCCACTTTGACATAAAAAATTTGTAGAAAATAAGAAACCCGCGTATAAGTCGACTACCCCACTTCTGAAATCGATCGAGAAACTTCGAAAAATGTTTTTTAAGTACTACATTTATTCAAAATCAACTGAGAAAAAAAAGTAAATCTACGATAAAAAATACCTTGGTAAATAAACAAAATCAAAATCCTTCAACGTCCGATTCATGGTCAGATTCGCCAAACATTTCATAGAACTCTTCTGTTGTCATTGGCTTGTCATCATACATATTTTCAGTCTCGAATTCTGTATTGTTACAATCACTACTAGAGCCTTCGTCGTCATTTTCACTTTCAAAAACAGCATCATCTTCCGTACCGTCTAATTCGTTGCTAATACAACATTTATTAAATGATTTTACAATCATTTCAGAGGGTATTTCGTTCCAAGCATCTTTAACCCACTGAGCAATTAATGTAATATCGAGCTTTTTCATGTTACCTCCCTTTGTAAATGTTGGTCGACCGGAACTAATCCACTCTGCCCAATATTTTCTAACATTTACTTTGAAGGGCTTATTGAGGCAGACATCTAGGGGGTGAAGGACGGATGTCAATCCTCCCAGAATTACGGCCACAGTCGTTTTTAGGTGTTTTGTCACTTCTTCAGAAAAGTGTCCACGAAAAGAATCGTATACTAAAAGAGAAGGTTTTTTAAAAGCTGCTCCCGGTCTTTTATCCCACACATTTTTAAGCCAATCGACTGCTCCATCAGTATCCATCCATCCCTTTTCATGGGCGCAAACCCTTGGTTTAATCGAAACTTACCCTAGTTAAAGTATAAAACTCTGTGATTAGTTGTCACATAATTTAAGTCATGAAATTACTTCAAGTAAGTGACTTATTTGATACGTCGTCCAATTTGAGTGTGGGAAGAAAACAACTGCATTATATAAAGAAATTTTTGAACTTCCGATTCTTTTAATTTTTTATGGCCCTGCGTATAAGTCGACCCCCACTTTGAAGTCTTTTTTTTTTTGTCCAAAATATCTTGACTTATACGCGGGTATATACGGTAATATATTTTCAGTTTGTTAAAAGGCTGATAGCTGCAAATTAGAGCTATTTATTTTAACAAATTGCTCTGTCATGACTGCAAAATGTAATGGTAATGTAACAGCGAATCAAGTAAACTTTAGAATTCTTTTTCCGTAAAAACTCATAAATATAATTTTATATTCAGTGTTATTTTGCAGTATTTCCTAATATGTAGCATTACATTTTTCACTTGTAGCCCACGCCTCATATTTCATTAAATTCATTATGGGTACAGCTGGCCTCATATTTCATTAAAAAACTTCATTATTTATAACAGAAAAACCTATTTACACAATGTCTTAAGAACAT